TCATGAATATTGGGTGGAATATTGTAGTAAGTAAGATGCAGGAGAGCATTTGTGCAATGGGCAGCCTTGCTTTACCTAAATTTACAGACATTTGGGACTGTGGTGGATCCAATGGTGAGCATCACAGCTTGTAACAGGTAGAGAAAGGTGACAGATTTCTGCGCATAGGCAAATACAATGACGACAGTCCATAATCCAAACCCTGCCAACTTACTGTGGGTTCCATCAGGGCCACTAAGCTTAATATAGCTGAGACTTCAACATGGGCAGAAAAACTGAATTGCAAAGGCCATCTTCAGAGAGTGCGAATTATACTTAATGACCATCTTGGCTCAATGAAAAGTATAGGAGGACGTGCCAGGAGTGCAATACTAAAGCGATGTGTCAACTGGTGAAGCCTGTGTGCCAAACATTGAAAGTGGCATACTGTAGATGGAACTAAGTGATCCCATAAACAACGGATCAGAGCTAAGATCTGCCACTAACAGGAGCTGGTGTCTCTAAAAATACCCCCATCCTCTACCAAAGCTGTTCCAATACAGTTAGAATACTGGCATCTACCTGAAAGTGTGAAAATAGCCCAGCAATGTGCTGTGCAAAAAAAAATGCAGAATAAATTCAACCCAGCCAACTACTGCCCTATCAGTTTACCCTCAATTACCAGTGAAGTGACGGACAGTGTCATTAATAGTGCTATCATTGTGCTTCACTGATATCCTCAGACAGCACCTTCCAAACCCGCAACCACTTCCATCTAGAAGGACAAGGGCAGCAGATATATGGGAACACCATTACCTTTAAGTTTCCCTCCAAGCCACTCACCATCCTGACTTGGAGATATATTACTGTTCCTTCACTGTCGCTGGGTCAAATCCTGGAAATCCATTCCTAATGGCATTGTGGGTCAACCCACAGCAGAAGGACTGCAACAGTTCAAGGAGGCAGCTCACTGTCACCTTCTCGAGCAGCTAGGGACGGACAATAAATAATGGCAAGCCAACAATGCCCGCATCTGACATATGATGAACAGGCTTTGAGGAGTCAAGAGGTGAGTTATTCACTGCAGTATTCCTAGCTTTTGACCTGCTCTTGTAGCCACTCTGTTCATGTGATCAGTCCAGTTGAGCTTCTGGTCAATGATAACCCCCAGGATGTTGATAGTTGGGGATTCAGTGATGGTAATGCTGTTGAATGTCCAGGGCAGTGGTTAAATTGTCTCATATTGGTGATGGTCATAGCCTGGCATTTGTGTGGCGCAAATGTCACTTGCCACTTGTAAGCCTATATCTGGATATTATCCAGATCTTGTTGCTTTTGAACCTGGACTGCATCAGTATCTGAGGAGTCACGAATGGTGCTGAACATCGTACAATCATAGGCGAACATCCCCACTTCTGACCTTGTGATGGAGGGAAGGTCATTGAAGCAGCTAAAGATGGTTGGACCTAAGACACTACCCTGAGGAACTCTTACAGAGATGTCCAGCAGCTGAGATGACTGACCTCTAACAACTACAACCATCTTTCTATGTGGCAGGTATGACTCCAACCAGTGGAGAGTTTGCCCCTAATACCCATTGATTCCAGTTTTGCTAGGGCTCCTTGATGCCACACTCAGTCGAATGCAGCCTTGATGCCAAGGGTTGTCACTCTCAACTCACCTCTGGAATTCAGCTCTTTTATTAATGTTTGAACCCGGGGTGTAATGAGATCAGGAGCTGAGTGGCCCTGGCGGAACCCAAACTGGGCGTCACTGAGCAGGTTATTGCTGAGCAGGTGCTGCTTGATAGCACTGTTGATGGCACCTTCCATCACTTTACTGATGATCGGGAATAGACTGATGGGGCGGTAATTGGATGGGTTGGATTTGTCCTGCTTTTTATGTACAGAACCTACCTGGGCAATTTTCCATATTGTCAGGTAGATACCAGTGTTGTAACTGTACTGGAACAGTTTGGCTATGAGAGCGGCAAGTTTTGGAGCACAGATCTTGTCAGGGCCCGTAGCTTTTGTAGTATCCGGTGTCTGCAACCATTTCTTGAAATCACGTAGAGTGAATCAAATTGGCTGAAGGCTGGTATCTGTAATGCTGGGGACCACTGGAGGAGGCTGAGATGGATCATTCAGTCGGCACTTCTGGCTGAGCATTGCTGTGAAAGCTTCAGCCTTTTGCACTGATGCGCTCTGTGCTGCCCCTCTGCCAGGTTTGTTCTGCCAGTGGTAGATACCTGATAGTGGTATCTGGGATGTTGTATGTTATGTATGATTCTGTCGGTCTGTTGCTTTACTTGTCTGTGAGACAGCTCTCCCAGTTTTGGCACTAGCCCTGAAATGTTACTTAGTAGGACCCTGCAGGGCCGATTGGGCTGTTTCTGCTGCTATCTTTTTCAGTGCCTAAGCCAATGACAGGTGATCTGTCCAGTTTCATTTCTTTGCGACTTTGTAGTGATTGATTCAACTGAGTGGCTTGCTAGGCCATTTCAGAGGGCAATTGAGAGTCAGCCACATTGCTGTGGAGTCACGTGTAGTCCAGACTGGGTGAGGATAGCAGATTTCCTTCCATGAAGGACATTTGTCAACCAGATGGAACCACATGACAAAGGAGTAACCTGCTTGCTGATACTTAATTTGTGTTCTGCCAGAACCACTTGATGCCTGGCCTTTAAAGCCTTGAGCTGAACATGGACATAAGAGTTGAACTCCAGAGATAAGGTGAGGGTGTCTGCCCTCAACATCAAGGTACCACTTGATTGAGTATGCTTTTGAGGAGCCTTGCAAAACTAGAGTCAAAGAGAATTGGCAGGAAAAACTCTCACTAGACGGAGCAATTCTAACAAAGGAAGATGGTTGTGGTTTTTGACACTTGATCTTCTTGGCCCCAGGACATCATGGCAAAAGTAGATCGAGATGGTGTCCTGGTGTTCTGCAGTGAGAAAATTGCTTCCTGTCTCCCGGCACCTGTCCACCATCGACAAGGCACAAGTCAGGAGTGTGATAGAATACTCCTCACTTGCCTGGATGAGTGCAGCCCAAACAACCTTAAAGAAGCTTGACACCATCCAGGCCAAAGCAGCCTGCTTGAATGGCGCTATATCCACAAGCATCCACTCCCTCCACCAGCAATGCTCGGTAGCAGCAGTGTGTACTATCTAAAAGATGTACTGCAGTATCTCACCAGTGTTTCTTAGTAGCCCCTCCAAAGTCACAACCTTTACAACTGTGAAGACAAGGGCAACAAATGCACAGGAACAGCACAATCTGCATATTCCCTTCCAAGCCTCTCACCCTCTTCACATGGAAGTATATAACTGCTCCTTCACTGTCATTGGGTCAAAATCCTGAAATTCCCTTTCTAATGGCACTATTGCTGTACCTATGCCCTAAGGACTGCAGTGTTTGAGGAAGACTGCTCACAGCCAGCATCTCGGTCAATTAGGGATGAACAATAAATACTACAGCTACATCCCCCAACAAATATAAAAACAAATTCTCAACTGCATCATGCTAATTTACACAGAGCAAGGGCTCAGAAGCCCTTACAAGATGAGCAACTGGTTGATCTGAGTGTGGAACTGGAGGAGCACAGCAGGCTGAGCAGGAAAGTTGACGTTTCGGGTCGGGACCCTTCTTCAGAAAAGAAAGGTCCTGACCCAAAACGTCAACTTTCCTGCTCCTCTGATGCTGCCTGGCCAGCTGTGTTCCTCCAGCTCCACACTGTGTTATCTCTGACTCTAGCATCTGCACTTCTTGCTATCTCCAACTGGTGATCTGTTTGGTGGGGCTCATTAATCTTAACATTTCCTTTTTGGTAACGAAGGGGTGTGATAGTTCATGGAAAGAGAGATGAAGAGTCATCCAGACCTGAAACGTTAGCTTGCTGTCTCTCCATGGATGCTGTCTGACCCGCTGTGATCTCCTGCATTGGTTGTTTTCAGTACAGATTCCAGCATCTGCAGTAATTTGTTCCTACAGTGTTTAACCACTGCAAATTGAAGATTCTGTGTTTTAAAAAGAAGTATGTAATTGACATTTTTAAACATCACTCACTTTTGAAAATTATTCGATAACAGAATTGCAGTGTATTTACAAAACTGAGTGGATTCCTGATAAAAAAAATTCTCACAGAGAGGCTCTACTTAATGATCTTTCTATTTGATCCTTTCAGAAATAAAGATTTGAAGATGAACCTCTTCCTGTTACTATCAACTAACTCTCAGTCATGCTAGCAGCTAATGCAAGATTGTTTGTGATATTTGATATCAAGAGCATTGCATCTTGCAAATGGTCATCTAAAGCAGCAAAAGGAGAGGCAAAGTGGGATATTGATATTCTCAATTCTGTTAAAAGCTCTCCTTCTATGAAAGCATTTTCTTATTTTGATTATTTTAAAATATATTTAGTGCAGTACGTTTAATCGGAGAGCCTGGCTCCAAAGTTGGTACTGAGTCCCTACTCCTCCATTGCAAAGCTATAGGAATGATGTGGGAACAATCTATCAACTTTTAAATTTCCTTTTATGTAACGCACCATTCTGACTTACACCACTAATACTCCATTCATGTTTATTAATATCCAGCAAAAGCCACATTGAGAGCTCAATGGTCTTAAAGTGGTCACTTTACAGTAACTTAGTGTAATTCTCAACACACTTGGAATTAATCAATATGTGCTGTCCAGTCACAGTAAAGCATTTTAAATTGGATACTGTTCAGTTTTGCATGCATAGTCTGGTTGCATGTGGTAAGTGCACTGCCTAGTGGGCACAGCTAAAAGAACATGCTGTTTGATGCAGTCCACCAGTCATTGGGATGTATACTGGTTTCACACTGGTACTGAATACACTACGGTCTTCCCCATAGCTGTACCTCAATTGATCAAAGTTAGCTTGCCTTTTTTGATTTAAACAAAAACTTGACAAGGAACTTTTTCCCAGTGCATTACCCACGGCAAGACAACAACTAATCAGAGTCCAACCATTCAGCCCCCTTTTCCCATGCAATATAAATTGTTGTTCCCTTTGAAATTTGGTATTTTTGTGATTCTGCCCTGATGACTGCAAGATAGAAAGCTTTGACAGCTTGTCCCTTTAGTTAAGAGTACTCAAGTTCTGCACAACCAAACAACTCTCTCCTCATCACCTCAATGGTCTTTGTCACTGACTCCTGTGCCAGTGGAAATATTCTTTACCCTGTGCAGCCAAACCAAATGTTTCATCATTTAAAAAATGTCCTCTGCTGCTGTGCTCCAATGAAAGATCTCCTGGTATCTTGGAACCCTTCTGCTATCCCTGATATTGTATCCATTTTACTTATCATCTATAGCATTAATATTCTGCATTCTAACCCTTTGGCCCCTCTTCTCTGGTTTTAACTGCCCTGAAATTATGAATGAAGGTATTGTGTTTGACCCTCTTGGTTCTGTTATCCTCATACTTCAAGTAATTACATTATCCATTAAAGCCTATTTCTTGTTTTATCTATGAATTCCATGAGTCCACACTTTTCAATGTTCCATTGGACTTTCCACCGTTCAGCCCATTTTGCTATGAGATAGGATCCTCTTGTGGTTGTTTCCAGTCAATGGTATTTCTCTTTGAGTTCTGTTAAAAAAAAAAAAAATGTGAAAACAGAGTTCAGCTATTTATAATGGGAGTGGCCAGTAGTGACTTGTTCCCTAACACTGCTATTTCCTTCCCCAATGCTGTTGCATGCAGCCCCTGACCTTCCTTTAAGATAAGATCAGCACAGAAGTCGCTTTAGGTTATTGAGGATAGTTTTATTTCCTTTTCAGCCTTTAATTATTTTCTGCTTTATAATCAGAAAGACTCATGCAGTACCTTGTGCAACACTTTATAAAACTAATAAAGGACTTCTGTGGTATAAATGCTGTTTCAATATAAATCAATGGATCTTTGTTTTAGTGATTGGTTTAGGGGTGCATATTGCCTGAACATAAGGCGAATGCCCTTGCCATTGTGCAAAATCATGGCACAAGACTTTGTCCACTTAAGGAAAGGTATTCTGTCAAATTGATTCTCTTAAGGTATTGT